ATTTTCCTATTGTTAGGTCGGTGGCAACAGTCAGCCAGATGTGCAGACTGGATATGACATTTTGTCCACCGATCGAGTCCTTTCCAAAGACCTGGGAAAGGCACAGTGGTGGGATTCAAATAATTTAACAACCGGTTCTCTGCCCTAATAACCGGATGGGTGGGCGTGGACATAGTGGGCGTGGCCAGCGGGTGTGATAGGCAGCACTCGGCCTCCTGCACCCCCCTGGGAGCAAAAATGGGCCGTGTGGGGGAATACACTGCCCTCCCCGCCCCATTTTGGGCCTAGGAGGCATCCCTGAAGCCTCCTGGGAGTGAAAATGGGCTGCGGGGGGCGCACCACACCCCCTCGCGCCCCATTTTGGGCCTAGGAGGCCTCCCTGCATTTACCTGGGAGCCAAAATGGGGCGCACGGGGACTCCTGGAAGGGGTGGGGTGGGGAGGGGTGGAACCAGTCAGCAATTTAGCTACCTGTTTGCCCAAACTGGCCCAAACCGGCTGAATCCCACCACTGAATAGGCAGATGTGGATGTTTGAGGTAGAATGTCATTACAGGATGTTGTAATCATCATCGTCATCGTTGTCGTCGTCATCATCATTTTAGCCATTGTCTATCCACAGCAGGATGAAGGTTTCTTCTGCATGTTTCCAACCAATATGGTCCTGAACTTTCTTTTGCCAATTAGGCCCGCAAAACTTGCTGATGTGGTTGGTCCATTTTGTTTTAGGTCTCCCTCATGGATGCTTTTTGTGGGGTCCATTCTATGACTGCCTTGTTCTCCAATCCATGTGCAGAACTTGCTATCTTGTCTTGTGATGCCGAGCATCAGTGGTGGTATTCATCCGGTTCAGACCGGTTCAGGTGAACCGGTAGTGGCGACCTGCAGGGGCCCACCCACCCTGGCACTATGCCATCTTATTTAGCCATGTTTTTTAAGCCATGCGCATGCCTGCAAGCCACACGCGCGAGCACATGCGCAGAAGGCCGGGTGCATGCCCGGATTGCGCATACGCACATTTTCAATGCGCGGCGAACCAGTGACAAAATTATGTGAAACCCACCTCTGCCGAGCATGTATCTTTCCATGGTTCTTTGAGCCACTTGTAAGAGTCTCCCAAGGCAAACAGGCCATGATGGATACCCCAGACTAACATTGATCACATTTGTCAACCCGTATTGTACCAGCGTGGCAGATTACGGTCTATTCCAGGGACCTGCAACCTTAAACACTCAAAGAGAGTCAACCGGGGGTTGAAAAGCTCAACAAATCGTGTGCCGACTGGTGTCACACATTGGCAGTTGTGATGCATATTTTGAGTGACAGGGAGCCACAGCAGAGGGGTGAAAGAGCCACATGCAGCTCCAGAGCCGCAGGTTGCTGACCCCTGATCTATTCTTTCCACATGCCAATACAACCTCAATTGCAGGATGTAAGCTGTTCCAAGTTAAGCTGCCTTTTGCAATTGACTGTTGGTGAATTTGTCAATGCCGACGGCATTCGAGTGTTTTGGGATTGCATCCAAGGTGCCTGTTACTATTGCTACTACCTTTTCTTTCTTTTACCCACATTTCTATTTGCAGGTCTTTGTCTTCTGTTATCTTCTCCAATTCTTTTCTTCTACATGTTTATCATTGAATTTTGTTCCTTTAGAAGCGGGCAACTTTCTAAGTTTCCAACAACCCAAGTCGAGAGCAAACGAGGACTGTTGATCTTGCATTAACTGTACATTTCAGAATCTACCTCCGGTGTAAAAATGAGTATCTGTTCAAGGATCTGTAAATGGCTCCGGAAAAAAAAAAAATACTTACTGCTCCATTGAGCGTTTATTCTTCATTTTCAAATTTAATATGTATTTATAAACAGCTCCAAAGGACTCATTCTGTTCCACTGGGCCAACCCTCTGCCTTTTCCGAGAACCTTTAATATATATTTACATAATTTGCATTTTTAAAAAGCCCTTAATTATGTATTTACATGACAGATGATAATGGCTGCAGAGGAACTATAGCAGTCAGCTGTGACAGGCAAAACACATTTCCTACAGGGACTGAAGTCTCCCCCCACCTCCCTTTTTTTTCCCAGCAACTGTTTGTGAAGCAAAACTAACCCTTTAGATTAAGAGGCGAGCGAGGAGGGGGCTGTAATAAACCACAAGAAAAATGTAGACATTAGGGATTATTGGCTGGCCCTTAAGTCATCATTAAAGGTCTGTAGAAATAATTTCTCAGTTTGCCACACTTCCGTGGAGAGAAAGCTGAAGGTAAAGTACATTTCTCTAAAAGATAAATACCCGTATTTTTCGGACTATAAGAAGCACCGGAGTATAAGAGGCACCAAGATTTCAAAGAGGAAAATAAGAAAAAAAAATAGTTTTTGGCTTTCGCGTGTCCAGTTTTTGTCCTCCCTGGCCCCCAGGAGCACTCTGCAGGCCTCCCAAACACTCTGCGTATCCCATTTTTGCAAAAAATGGGCCTGTTTAAATGGAATGCGCGGGGTGGGGTTTCAGGAGGCCAAAAATGGCTATATTCGGTGTATAAGATGCACCGACATTTCCACCCTCTTTTAGAAGGGGAAACATGCATCTTATGTTCCAAAAAGTACAGTAAATGCATTCCAGGTATGGGTTCCATCCACCTTAGTACTCTACTGCAATTAAATGGATTTCCCCCCACCCTCTGAAAATCAGTTTGACTGTTACAGGTAGTCCTTGACATACGACCACAATGGAGCCCAAAATGTCTGTTGTTAAGTGAGACATTTGTTAAGTGAATCTTGCCCCATTTTATGACCTTTCTTGCCTCCGTTGTTAAGTGAATCGCCGCGGTTGTTAAGTTAGTAACCCAGTTGTTAAGCGAATCTGGCTTCCCCGTTGACTTTGTCGCAAAACTGGATCACAGAACCTCGGGACACAGCAACGGTCATAAATGTGAATCGGTTGCCCAGCGTCCGAATTTTGATCACATGATCATGGGGATGCTGAAAACGTCGTAACTATGGAAAACAGTCCTAAGTCACTTTTTCCAATTGTAACTTTGAACAGTCACTAAATGAACTGTTGTAAGTCAAGGACTACCTGTATTTTGCTAATGCTTCAAGTCAGTGGGGAGAAAGTTGCAACCTGAAGACCAGATCAAACTCCAGAGTCACCAGTGCTGCCTCTGAGTACTGTTGCTAAAAATCTGTGCTATATTAATATTTTAAGGCAAGCAACAGAGATACCATAAATGGTAGGATAAGACTTAAAGCTAAAGGGTGTTTAAAAGAAGGACTAGGGGAGACATGATAGCAGTCTTCCAATATCTCAGGGGTTGCCACAAAGAAGAGGGAGTCCAGCTATTCTCCAAAGCACCTGAGGGTAGAACAAGAAGCAATGGGTGGAAACTAATCAAGGAGAGAAGCAACTTAGAACTAAGGAGAAATTTCCTGACAGTTAGAACAATGAATCAGTGGAACAACTTGCCACCAGAAGTTGTGGGTGCTCCAACGCTGAAGGTTTTTAAGAAGAGATTGGACAACCTTTTGTCTGAAATGGGATAAGGCAGGGCTGTGAAACTCGTGGCCTGCAGGCAAGATGCGTCACACGCTGGCCACGCCCATGCCCGGTTTAGCGAAGGGGGGGAGTCGCGATACGTCATGTGACGATGCTGTGACAACACAAGTTTGACACCCCAGTATAGGATTTCCTGCCTGAGCAGGGGGTTGGACTAGAAGACCTCCAAGATCCCATCCAACTCTTCTCTTCTCTTCTCTTCTCTTCTCTTCTCTTCTCTTCTCTTCTCTTCTCTTCTCTTCTCTTCTAGGAAGGAAGGAAGGAAGGAAGGAAGGAAGGAAGGAAGGAAGGAAGGAAGGAAGGAAGGAAGGAAGGAAAGTTATTCTCCAAAGCAGGACAAAAAACAATGGATGGAAACTAATCAAGGAGACCTAGAACTAAGGAGAAATTTCCTGATATCAAGAACAATTAATCAGTAGAACAACTTGCCTCCAGAAATTGTAAATAATCCAACACTGGAAGTTTTTAAGAAGATGTTGGATAACCATTTGTCTGAGATGGTATAGGGTCTCCTGCCTAAGCAGGGGGTTGGACTAGAAGACCTCCAAGGTCCCTTCCATCTCTGTTATTCTATTCTATTCTACTATTGTCTGAAAGTTGAATCATGGCAACCGGACTTATTTTCTTGTTGGGTAGAGACGTTTCGCTGTTCATCCGAGCAGCTTCATTGGTCAGAGAAAGTTAGTTAGGCAGAGAGTCATTGGAATGTACCAACTCCTCCCCAAAGCGTGTAGCAATATGTCTACACCAATCACCAAGATACTGAGAGTTTTCGTCCCGCCTTAGGCATGAAAGCCAGGTGACTTTAGGCCAATCACCAGGACACTGAGAGTTTTCGTCCCGCCTTAGGCATGAAAGTCAGCTGGGTGACAGGGCCAGTCACTCTGTCTCAACCCAATCTACCTCACAGGGTTGTTGTGGGGACAATAGAAGGAGGAAGGAATATTGGGTATATGTTCACTGCCACGAGTTATTTATAAAAAATATAAGAAATGCGGAATATCAATAAATAAATATAGATTATGACACTTGTGGACTTGTAGGATCGGCCAGACAGCCGTTTCCATGGATATCCCCAGAGGGGACCAGAAATGGCAAATTAATGACACATGCACCAAAACATCATCCAGGCCACATTGCAAATACTAAATTATGCCGTTTGCACAGTGGCATCACAAGACACACCAGGATTTATTAACAATGCCAATGCCTAAGGACAGTTTTTTCCCGAATGCCATCACTCTGCTTAACAATTAATTCCCACAACACTGTCAAATAATTTACTAAGACTGTATTACTATTATTCTTCTCTTCCTTACTAGTATCTATCTCTTCCCACTTATTACTATAACCATGTTGCTTGTATCTTTCAATTTTTTAAATGTTTTTAATTGGTTTTGAAGCGGGATTCACTAATCCCAAATTAGTCAGGAGACAAGACCACAGAGATCCAGAGAAAACAGGCTTTATTGAATATTGCTAGCAATAGGCCCAGTGCAGTAACCTGACAAATACTGAGCCCCGAGCAACGCCCTGAGGCAGGTTTTATAGGTTTCATGATCATAGCATACTTCAGTTCCTCAATATGCATACATACAGATAGTTAAACTGGAAAAGTACAAATACAGAAGTAACCTGGAAAAGTACAAAAGCAGAAGTATATGGGTATACAATACGTGCCAGTTACACAATTACAATGGTTACAACATTATAGTTACGACAGATTGCTACAAATGTCAAGTTCCCTTCTAGGAGTACAGATGTAGGAGAAAGGGCAATACATTTATAGATGCGCTATAAATGATATAAAAGCAAGGCCTTTAAGATACATACTGTTAGGATACACCATATGAGGGGCTCTCCTTCATTCCCCCCTGTTGAGACTTTGCCAAGTAATACAATTACTGCAAAGTTTCATTTTCGATGTTACTTTCCTCGATAAGTTTCTGGTATTCCCACCAGGCCATGGCTCGGGCCGTGGCCTTTTTCTCAACCAATAAGGACAACGTGCTGGTACCAATGTAGGGGTCGTATTTCCTCCCAACCATGTCCAAATGTCATCCTCCGCGGGGAAGCGTTTGCCCTGGTCAAGAGGCGAAAGGGGACCCTCCAAGTCCAAGCTCCCCTTCCCCCCTGTTCCTAGCAAAACGCGATAAAGGTAAAGAGAGTTAATAATGATATTGAGTAGTAAAAGCACAATAACAACCCAAATGGAAGGCAAAAGGCCACGGCGAATACAAGCCGTCTCACGAATGCGCTGAGCGGGATCCATTTAAGACCAATGATAGGAATATGTAAGAGGTGGTTGACTAAGGGCTGTGAGAACCGTAGGAGTTGCCGTTAGGGTATAGACCCGTTGGCCAGAGGAATTGGAATAGAAGAATCCCTCAAGAACTTGTTCAATAACAACTATGTCACAAATAAGGGCACAGTCAATACACAAAACACAATCAATACAATGGGAACAGCAGCAGGAATCACAGGGGCAGGGGCAAAACCAGCACATGAAATCAAGGCAATGCCGATGGGACTTGCCTCCCAGAGCGCAGGGTGAAGCGAGGAGCGTTGCCCGTGCGATGGGTATTAGCCTCCGGAGTAATACCTGCAGGGGGTTCCTCTTCGGCTCCCGTTCGTAGAGGGACAGCTTCCGGAGTGTCACCAGAAGGGGCAGCCACAGGTGCAGCGCGTGGACCTGATTAACCACATCCCAGGCCATGTGGCCTGGGAGGAAAACACGAGAATCGGGCAAGACCCACCAACCCCCCTGTTGGGAAGCATCGAGTTCACGGGCTTGGGCAAGTTCAGATGCACTATAATGAGGCTGCATAGATTCTGGGGGGTCCCATAAGGCGAGGCAGTGCACCTGCGGGTTGAAAGGTCGCAACGCTGCATGGCGAGCCTCCTGGTCAGCCTTATGGTTACCCAGTTGTGTGTCCGAGGGAGATTTCTGATGGCCCCTGCAGTGCATGACAGCCACCTTACGAGGGGCCCAAACACTGTCCAGCAGGCGGAGGATTTGTGGACCATACTTGATGTCCCTTCCTCCTGCTGTAATAAGTCCCCTCTCTTTATACAATGCCCCGTGGACTTGAACAGTTAAAAAAGCATATTTTGAATCTGTGTAAATGGTAACATCCATATTTTGAGATAGTTCAAGGGCTCTAGTTAAAGCATGGAGCTCCGCCAACTGTGCACTAGTACCAGGAGGGAGGGGTTCGGCTTCCCATATATCAGTAAGGGTAACAACAGCATATCCAGCCTTGCGAACCCCATCCAGAAGGAAACTAGTGCCGTCAGTGTACAGTACATAGTCAGGACGGGGAAGTGGGACATCTGACATATCAGGGCGGCTGGCATATGTTTCCCCAATAGTCTGAATACAATCATGGGCTGCATCAAGATCAGGTTCAGGAAGGAGAGTTGCAGGATTTAAGGAAGTAGATTGCTTTAGAACAATCATGGGGTTGTGAGTTATCAGGCCTTGGTATTTAAGCATTCGGGGATTGGTTAACCACAAATGGCCTTTTGTTTCCAAGACAGCCTTCAAGGCATGAGGGGTTTGTATTTCAAGTTCCTGGCCAAAGGTGAGCTTGGACGACTCTTGAGTAAGAAGGGCCGTGCCAGCAACAGCCTTGAGACAGGCAGGCCAACCCCTCGCAACAGGATCCAGCTGCTTGGAAAGATAGGCTACAGGGCGATGCCAGGTTCCTAACCTTTGGGTGAGAACCCCGACAGCAACATTTTGTTTAGTATCCACAAATAACTGAAAAGGTTTGTCTAAGTCTGGCAAGCCCAAACTGGGGGCTTGCATCAGAGCATGTTTTAAACTTGAGAAACTTTTCTGTTCCTCTTTTCGCCAGAGGAGCGGCTCTCGGTCACTGCCTCTGGTAGCCTCATATAGGGGTTTTGCAAGGAGGCTAAAGTTAGGAATCCAAATACGGCAAAACCCAGCAGCCCCCAGAAACCCCCGGAGTTCCTTTTTGGTCCGTGGGGTGGGGAGGCGGCAAATAGCTTCCTTTCTTTCATGACCCAAGGTGCGTTTTCCAGGCTCAATATCATAGCCCAAGCATCTAACTTTTTGCAAAACCAATTGTGCCTTTTTCCGAGAAGCCTTATAGCCCAGTCGCTGTAGAAGGTGTAGGAGATCATAAGTGTTTTGCCAGCATATGTCCTTTGTCTGGCCAGTGACCAGCAGGTCATCAACATACTGCAACAAGACCTCCGGCTTGGGGAGGTTCAAAGCTTCCAAATCAGCTGCGAGGGCATTCCCAAACAGAGTGGGGGAGTTCTTATAACCTTGAGGCAACCTGGTCCAAGTATACTGCTGTTTACGACCAGTAGCCAGATTTTCCCACTCAAAAGCAAAGAGATGCTGACTCTTTTTATGGACTGGGATGGTAAAGAATGCATCCTTAAGGTCTATGACCGAAAACCATGACGCAGTCTGGGGAATCAAGCCCAGAATAACGTACGGATTTGGGACCAAAGGATGAATAGTCACTGTAGCGGCATTTACTGGCTTCAAATTTTGAACCGGACGGAAACGGCCATCCCCCTTAGGAATAGGTAAGATCGGGGTGTTCCAGGCCGATTCAGTAGGGACCAGAATGTCATGTGCCAGATAGAGATCAATTACTCCCTGTATAGCTTGCATAATGTGTCTAGGGTAAGCCCATTGACGAAGGCGAATTGGATGTTTGGCAGGGAGCTCCTCAACAATAATGGGCGTCTGATGGCGAGCAAACCCAGGGGGGTTGTCCTCAGCCCACAAGGAAGGGACATTAAAATCCTCCCAACCGGAGTTTGCTACGATTTCATGTACAGCCATTAAGCGCCATGCTTCCTCCTGGGGGACCTCCACAGAGACCTTGCCATATGTCAAAGAAGTAGAACCGTCCGGCTCAAAAGAAATCTGAGCCCTTAATTTACTCAACAAGTCTCGCCCCATAAGGGGAAGAGGGCACTCAGGCATGTAAACAAATTGATGAGTTATAGTTTTACCCCCCGTGTGACAAATTAGGGGGTTGAGGAATGGGCGTTTGATTGGCTGGCCTGTCGCCCCCTGGACCGTGATGGTATGCGAGGAGGGCTGGGCCAAGGGTTTGGTTATGACGGATCGGGTAGCCCCAGTGTCTACAAGGAAGGGAATAGGCTTGCCTCCAATTGTGAGACTGACCATGGGTTCAGGGAGGCGTGCCGAGCCCGGTCCGTTTCATTCCCATTCCTCGACTTCGGCCAGACCAATGAGGGGGGTATTGGACGCCCCTCGTCCCCTCCCTCGAAAGGGTCTGCCTCGTCCACCTCGGCCGTCTCGGGCATAACCTCCCCGATTACCTTCCTTGGCACGTTCCAGTTCTTTTTCAGGGCATTCATTTCTCCAGTGGCCAAATCGCTTGCATATGGCACACTGATTTGGGTCCAGGGGTCCCCCTGACCCCCGGCTCCGATTCCGCCCCAGGGATCCCCCTGACCCCTGGCCCCTTGAGCCGCCCCAGGGATCCCCCCGACCCCTCAAGCCTCTGCCCATTCTTGGCCCATCGCGGGCCACAGGCCCGCCCATCAAAGCTGCAGCAAGCAGTTCTGCTTTCTTATGCATTTTTAGCTCCTGCTTCTGTTCCTCAATTTTATCCCTGTTCGCAAAAACCTTCCTTGCCACTTCCATCAGTTCACTCATTTATTTCCCAAGAGCTCCCTCCAATTTCTGCAATTTTCGCCGTATGTCAGGGGCAGATTGAGAAATGAAGGCCATTGCCAACATGCGAGCATTTTCAGGCTGAGTAGGGTCTATGGGGGTGTACATTCGGTAAGCATCTAACAGTCGGGCATAGAAGGCTTCCGGGGCTTCACTAGCACCTTGGATCACCAAAGAAGGTTTTGACATGTTGGTGGTGGGTTTCCCCGCCACCTGGATTGCCTGCACCACAAGGCGCTGGTAATCCTGAAGGGACCTAAGATCCTCGATCTTATAAGGGTCCCATCTGGGATCCTCAGAGGGAAAATTTCTAGCCACCCAGCGTTCAATGGTCATATCCCGGGCTGGCATAGTTCCTTTTAAGATTTTAAGGGCAGCATTCCTAATCTTTTCCCTCTCTTCTGGGTTGAAGATGGTACTCATCAACTGTTGTAGATCCCTCCAAGTTGGATTGTGGGTATCTACAATAGTTTTAATCAAATCAGTAACCTCTGCTGGTTTGTTACAAAACGGACCATAATGCATTTTCCAGTTCAAAAGGTCCGAGGAGGTAAATGGGACGTGTTGAAACACAGAGACAATTACGGGCTCCCTGTTTGGTTCAACGACGGACTGATCTACCCTCCTGAGAGGGCTCAGAAGAGCCGGTCCGTCTTCCGACGGATCAGCTTCCTCACTCTGCCTGGTATTCTTTGAGCGAGTTCGATCAGCTATGGGGCCTTCCTGTTCCCCAAGGGGCAACTTTTGTCCCCCCACTGCTCCTTCTAATTCATCAGAGGAGGGGGTGATCTGTTCGCTTTTCTGGGTTTGTCGCTCCTTCGGGCGGGCCCCCTTGTCTGCTCCATCCAAACTGGTTTGGGCGGAGCGGTCAGCTGGGCTTGGTACCCCCGGTGAGTCGGGGATGCCCAAGTCATCGAGGGCTCTCAGGAAGGTATCAGCTCCTTCCCCTGCACTGCTAGAAACTGAGGTGCTTGCCCTAAAGCCTATTTGTCCCTCCCCCCGAGGGAGATATGGCGGCGGATTGGGCAGCTCCTCTGGGCAGCTAGGAAGGATGGTGGGGATTGTTTTTTCCTTTTATATGGCAAGGTGCGGGAAACCAATAATCTACACCTTGCAGCTTTGCACTTTTGTAGCCAAATGGGGGAATGTTGTACTAGAGTAAGCCAGACATCGATGTATGGGGCTTGGTCAGGATGTCCTGTGGTGGGGTGGAAGACCCTCTGGTGTACTTGTAGTACTATCCCTAGGTCCAGCGACCCTGCTGCTGGCCAGCCTACTCTGAGTTCTGGCCAGTCCACTTCACAGAACGTCCTCAACCTCTGCCTACTCCATTTTATGCCGTAATCCTGGCTAATGTAGGCATCTTTAAAATGTTTTAACATACATGCCAAGGGGGTCAAAGGCGTACTTTCACCTCCACCCATTTTCCTCCCAGGGCACCAGACAAGACAAGTAGGAAAAAAGGGTGTGGGAAGAAGGTAAGGGGTCCTTCTTTCCCAGGAATACACGAAGGATTCTCAATCACTCTTCCCCGGCCGCCAGCCCCGGACACTCAACGGTCACTGGACGGAATCGCGGGGTACACTCACACCAGTCGTGCACGACAAACCTCCCACCTTAGGGTCCCTCCGACCCTGGGGTCCCTCCGACCCCTTGTACCTTCAGGGAAAGGGTGATCAGGCACTTCCCCCCCACTCCTCCAGTGGTTATTCCCCTGGGTGACTCTTACCTTCCCAGCAACCCCCCGTTGTCTGGATATACAGGCTGGTCCCTAGCCCAGGGGTTCAGGTACTTGCCTGCCGGCGTCCTTTTCTTCTTTTATTTGTCTCCTTGAGAATCAGCTAAGAAATCAGTGATACTTATATATCATGAGCAAAGTTTGGAGTGGTTTTATATATAAAACCCCAATTTAAACCTAAGTTACTTTTATTAGATGACTATGGCAGATTTGTAATAGTGGAAACTGAATGTCATGGAATAAAATCAATAGTAATTGGTCTTTTTGAGTATCTTATGGACCAACTTCTGCCTTTTTCATATGAAAATTGGTTTATGTTGGGGGATTGGAATGACTTTGCCACTTTGGGATAAAACATCTACTAAGGGGATCAAACCCTCATTTTTTTGAGAAGATAGATAATTTAGTGCTAATAATTAATTTGTTACACCAACAACTGTCTATGCTAACAGTTTAAGAAATTGAATGATGTGAAGCAAAGACATTTGAGTTTGGAAATAAAAGCAGGAAGATGGTTGGCATGTAGACTAAGAAAGGAAAGGGAAAAGAGAATGATTGAAAAAATTCGTGAAGGCAATAATGTAATAACTGATAATGAGCAAATTAAAAAATTGTTTCATAACTTTTACTCTAACTTGTATAAAATGCAGGAGTCAGATAAGTAAAAAATAGATGAGTATTTGCTAAGACAACACTTGCTGAAACTTTCACAAACTCAGAGACAACTTATGAACAAACTCAGAGAAAACCAATAGCTACCTTTGGAATATTAGAAGCTATAAGAAAAATGAAAACAGGTAGAGCTCCTGGCCCAGGTGGGCTTACAAGTAAATATTATAAATGTTTTGAAGACAAATTTCTTCAGCCATTAAAGGATATAATGAATGATATTTTACAGGGGGGAAGGATTCCCACAACTTGGAAAGAAGCTAATATTGTAAGGAGGGTCAGGATGTTTTAGTTCTGGCTGTGCACCGCCCTGAGTCCACTAGGAGAAGGGCGAGATACAAATTGAATAAAATAAATAAATAAATAAATAAATAAATAAATAAATAAATAAATAAATAAATAAATAAATAAATGTCACGATGATAAAGAATTATAGACCAATTTCACTATTAAATAAGGTTTATAAATTATTTGCTGCTGTTTTGGCAGAAAGATTTAAAAAACGGTTTACAGGTTTCATGATGATCAATCTGGATTTCTGCCAAAAAGACAGCTAAGGAATAATGTGAGAACTGTCTAGAATATTATAGAATACTTACAGTATCATAATGAAGAACAGGCAGCTTTAATATTCTTAGATGCAGAGAAGGCCTTTGACAACTTAAATTGGGCCTTTATGTTTAAAGTCCTGAAAGAAATGTTTAAAATGTTTTAAAATGTTTAAAGTCCTGGAAGAAATGGACTTTGGTGGGAATCTTATCCAAGGGGTCAAAGCTGTTTATACATCACAGCAAGCAAAAATTGTTATTAATGGAGACTTAACTAACACATGCGAAATCTGAAAGGGTACAAGACAAGGATGTCCTTAGTCTCCTTTACTGCTTATCCTGGTGTTGGAAGTCTTGAATAGAGATATCAGGCAAGATGAGAAAATAAGAGGTATAAGTATTAAGTTTATAAGCTGAGGGCTTTTGCTGATGACTTGGTGATATTTCTGTAAGACCCCCCCAAAAAACATAAAATATTTGAAGAGGAAATTAAAGGAGTTTGGGTCTTTAGCAGGTTTCAAAATAAATAAGCAGAAAAACATCAATGCTGATTAAGAATATGACCACACAAGATGGGGATACATTGATTAAAAGTCTGATTTTAGGGCTGAGAAAAAGGTGAAATTAGAATAGAATAGAATAGAATAGAATAGAATAGAATAGAATAGAATAGAATAGAATAGAATAGAATAGAATAGAATAGAATAGAATAGAATAGAATAGAATAGAATAGAATAGAATATGTTAGGATATGGTGTAAGCCTAACAGGTTGTACAGGCAATATATGGACAATATATGTGTTCTATATGATTTAACATGAATATGTATTGTATGACTTTAAGAAGTACTGCTGAGTCATTGTAATGCTGAGTCATTGTAATGCTGAATCATTGTATCCTGATTGGATAAGCTCTGTTGTAACTGTATTTAAGAAGGGAGCTGAAATGTAGTCATTGATGATATGCTATCATCGTGTGTGGATATGCTACCATCGTGTGTGGATATGCTATCATCGTGGGTGGATATGCTACCATCGTGACCTGTTACCAGCATGAATGTACTGCTATTTATTATCTACTGCTGTTTTGTATGGTAAGAAGACTTTTGTATCACTGGACTGATTTGACTGGCAAAGACTTGGATTGATTAAAGGCTATGAGATTGTTTTTCACTACAAAGTAAAAACTTTGATAAACCAGTTTGTATGTATTTTATTCATTATTGCTCTCAGCACCGTTTCCATGTGCTCTACACTCTGCTGGTTGTTAACACAACAATATCCTTAACATTGGTTATGGGCCCAGAATAACATTTCTATAAGATGATGCATCATTGGTGTTTAACTCCAGATACGTTGTCAAGAATGTATAAAGGTACTTCAAATGAATGTTGGAAATGTAAATGGAAAGAAGGAACTTTTTATTGCCTATGGTGGATGTGTGATAAAGCAAAGAAATATTGGAATAGGATTCATATCTTAATACAGAAAATTCTTAAAGTGAATATAGAAAGAAAACCAGAGACTTTTCTTTTGGTTTAATGGAACAAG